TGTTTAATACAAACTTGTAACCAATCTTGCATTTTTACAATTACAATAAGAAATATTTTCGTTATTTACATTATTTATATCGGCTATTTAATTTAATTATAATATGTATATGTATCAACATAAAATGTAAATGATCATAAAAATTGAACCTCTGAAGTATATGGAGCACCAACCTGGTACACATTTTCCGTTTGCCTGAAGTTTATTAAATGACGTGTTGCATGTTGTACCCATGGGATAAACTAGTTATTTAATGAATATCAGTGGACACGGTGTATTTCACAGAATAATAGTAAAATCACGTGGCCGGAGGCCACGTGGTTTTACTATTATTCTGTGGAATACACTGTATCCACCGATATCCATTAAATAACAAGTATATATTTGACAATTGAATTAATAGTGTTATCAATGTAATAACGAATTATACATTTTATTTTTTATTTAACTTGAATTATCTATCTTGGCGTTGAAAAAATTTTTAGATTAACACTCAAAGGAATTTTGTGATCTAATATAAGTTCGTTTAGATAAGGTTGCGAACTATAAACTACTAGTTTTTCAAAAAAAACCACTATTAGTTTATGAATATCATGGTTTTTTGGCCGGCATTATGCAGAAATGCTGATCACGAGACCTTATCTCTGCCAACGTTAAAGCAGAGATAAGGTCACGTGAATCGACACATAAGATTATCTCTAAGAAAAGATAGAAGTAGCTACAGTTTTAGACTTTAGTAGTCTTGGAATTAAAATTAAGCTTTAAATTAGAGAGGTGGCTTTATATAGCATTTAATAGAAATTGTATAATTCAAAAGAAATAATTCTTAGTTAATTTCAATTATCCCTATGTTGCAGTCAATTCTGAAAAATGATAATAATAGAAGTTTAGACTTAGTAAATTGGTGTTTATTAGAATATCCAGGAAATTATGCGGTGAGATGTGATTGGTAGAAGAGGAGCCTGATAGTGAAAATTCCAAAAACTTCTGATGCAGAAAGTCTGAAATATTCCAAAGGTTTCGCATAATTGACAAATTTTAAATAAGAAATCGCATAATTTGACCTCGATTGTACGCACAATTTACCCTAACACATCGCATAATTCTAGACACTTTAGTACTTATTAAAATTCATTTTCATTAGCATATATTATTTTTAATTATATTATAAATGTAATAAACTTTTGTCTTTCAAAATTAAAAAGGAAATTCTAACTATCAGTATTATTGTAATATTATATTCACACGCTTTACTATTAATATAAACTTTTTTGCACATTTTTTGCTAACTCCGTAAAACAGTGCCTTATATATGCCTTATGAAATAATTTCTTAAAGTAATAATAAGCTTCCCCGTCTAAATGTTGATCCCTAATATCTTTAGAGTAATTAATAAATTCGATCAAAGCGCAATAATGTCTCAGAATATCTATATCATTATCATCTACAATTTTTTGGAGAATTTTTTTCAAATATTCCAAAGAATGATATTTAAAAGTAATTAAAAAATCTCATAGTTTCCTACAAAATGTATAACCATAACCTTTAATCATTACAGCAAAGAAATAACCACCATGCCTATTACTATTCAACCAATATTTATATATAGTTAAAAATTCTATATCATAATTTGGGACTTCTTCAAATTCATGTTTTAACCAGCTATTCTTGTAAAAGTGTTGAAGAGTTACTTCAAATTGTTTTTTCATTGTTCGATCAATCAACTGCATTGAAGAAATAAAATCAACTACTGATTTTCTAAACGTAATTCGAATATTAAAAATATCATTTCAAATATGATACAGTATAAGCATAACAGAAATATATACTATCTCATTGTACAAACATTCGATAAATTTATTTCTGTACAACACTTTAAATTTTATTTTTCTAGCTGTTAGTTTCCTTAAAGCATTTTGTCATAGCATTTATGAAGAGAGTGACTTTAGATATTTAATATATCCCTAACAAATTGGCCAGCTATTTTATATTTCATACTCAATAAATCAAATTAAATGATGACTAAGTTTTGTATTTTGATCCTAAAATAAATAAAAGTTTAACTTTTAATTACTTTTTGTTCATTTTTCTTAACAAATCTTATTCGGATTTTTAAGATTATCAAATTCAAAATTATCGTTATCATTATCATTATGAACCAAAAAATCCTGCATAACTAGTTGCACAACTGTAAAATAAAGAAATGCCCAGTATTATCGTTACGTACTCTGCATTCAGCATAATGGTGCAATTTATATAAAAAAAACAAATTACTTACCGTTACTACTTTTAGCATATTTTATTCATATTGATATTGTTTTATACAGTATAGCTAAAATGTCAGATGAAGAAGAAATCACTAGCAAATTAGGTCAAATAAGTTTTACTGATTATCAAAAATTGGCAGATAAGGGAGATTCTGAGGGAATATTTATGCTTGGTTATTGTTATGAACATGGAATTGACATTGAAAAGGATTTGTATAAGGCATTCGAACACTATCAAAAATCAGCAGAATTGAATAATTCTAATGGAATGTTTCATGCTGGCTTTTGCTATTATCGTGGGATTGGAGTTGAAATGAATAAATACAAAGTATTTGAGTATTCCTTAAAATCAGCTGAAATTGGAAATTTTAATAGAATCTTTAAAACTGCCGTTTGTTACTATTACGGAATTGGCGTGGAAAAGAATTTAAAAGAATATTGTGAATGGATTTATTATTCAAACCCCATTGTCGTGCCCAATGTTTTATTATCATAACCAATTTCAACATACTCTTTATTAGTTGTGTATTATATATTCCAATAGTATTATTAATATTAACATCACATACTAATTTTCTGTAATTTAAAAATTGAAAATTTAGCTCAAATCGTTAATATAATAAATGCATTACAAATATACATACAAACTAGGATCCCAAAACTTAACAATAGGTATTTTAGCATCTGAAACGCACTCGACTATTTCCATATTGTCTATTTTTTAATATACAAAGATTATTAACTTTCTTTACGTAATTAAGAAATATGATTTACACACATTTTTGTAATATTTCAGACAATGTAAATACATTTTCTAACTCTCTGTTTAGTGTTATAACGCATATGGGGTCTTTGCCTTGAAAATCAAGTATGGGACATATGATTTACTATGTTCCATAACTCGATTTTTAAGGCAAAGACCCCATATATCAACATCGGAATTTGATGATTCGAGATGATTTGCAGATGATCTTGATAAGAATATATTTTAATTTAATTAAAAATTGTATTTTTTTCCCCCTACTTTACAGAGCAAAAAAAACTTATTACCCAAATAAATAAACTTCTTCGCTTAAAATATTCTTGATCTTCACAACTAATTTGTGCCTTTTTACATAATTTTTCTTTGTGGGAAGTAATTGCTGAAATATATATTTTTAAAACATAATTATATTATGTAGACTTTTATACTACCACAAAATTCTTTCATTATATAACTCACTTTATAAAACTTCAATGCTTCTGCGGAAAGTAAATGTTCGAAAATTTTATTTATTGATTTTTTCGACAAGCAATTGGCAAATATATAACCCAATTCTTTGCAATAATAATACTGATTTTTTTTATAAGTAAAAGCCATGACCTCAAGCTTAGTTTTTAATAAAAATAATTACAATTAAACTCGCAATTCGCCAAATAGTTGTAATTCAGTATTTTACAATACAAAAGAAGGCTTTAACCAAAGCATATAATACCAGTAACAATATATATATATATATGCTTATTTAACAGATATACGGGATTAATCTTAATATAAATATTATATCAGATGTAAGAGGCAGTGTATTGATTGTATATATTGATAATTTTTTTATCCAATAATAAGATAAACCGGAATTATCAATAGTCTATTTAACGGCTAATATAAATGCTGAAATACAACTTTAAAATTATTTTATATATTATAATATATTCTAACACTAAATGCCATGATATTACATATCTTGCTTAAAATATACAACTGTAAATTATTTGTAAAAAAACTGATACTATGTTCGTGTATTCATTTTTATTATATATAAGTGTCGCAAAGAGAAAACTTGCATTACTTATTAGATAAAAATTCAGGTTTTTCCCTTTACGGTGCACATATAAATATATATATATATAATTTTTGAACTATATTCAAAAGTCACGTGTAAAGCAAGCTTGAACATAGTTTAGTTTTTATACATCTTAAATTTCTCGATAAATAAATAGATACAAAAATATGTTGTTATTTTTATAGTATATATATATATATATATATATTTGAAGACAAAAATTACTGATAATAATATTTCAAATGATGCGTTGTGAGTATTTTCAAATAATTTCATGAAATGTTTATGAAATATTGATAAATAATTGTCTACTCTAGATCAAAAGGAAGAAGGATGGGGTCCCAACCCGACAAATATCCCTCGCACATGGGGAGAAGAAACAAACAAGTGCAAATCGTGCTTATTAGATAAAAAATATTGTTATTGTGACTCTATAATTATTTGGAATTGGAACAATGTTGAATATGGAAATTATAAGTGGTGCAATTGGTGTGAAAAAACTAATCATAATGCGAAAGAATGTTGACTTATGCTGAAATCGCCCAAGATCACAAGTCAAGAATAGAGAAAAAAGATCAAATGTTCAAATTGTTCAAAAAAATATAGACCTGTATATCACGATGAGGAAGAACAATATCCCAAAACTTATTCATATAGTGATCCCAGGCGTTAGAATAATAACTGGTGGAAAACAAATTTATAAAGTTTTTATTTTTTATTAAATTAACTCTGTATTTGATTAATAAAAATTAATACTAAATTGTTTACATTTTTTATTGTATAAAAAGTTATATGTGTTAATATATAATATGTAACTCTAAATGGAGCCAATGGTTTATTAGTTTTTTGAACTCCATTTGAGTAACAATTGATCTCCATTAGCTCCATTGCCAACTCTACCTATACTATTATACATTAGCACCGTACAAATTAAAAATAAATCGTTACTTTCCTACAGTTCTTTCACGATTAGATACACCTTGAGACACAATATTCAACTTTATGTATGGACCAATCGCGTGCATAACTCAAATCTATAATCTTTTGAATACTTCACTGCATCTAAGTATTACTGTATATCATGTGATATTTTTGCTATTAAGAATTGATTTCACAAAATATTAACATTACATAAATACTGGAAACTCTAGTAAATCATGCACTAAAAGCCTATCCCACTTTTATGAAACCTGAATTCTTAAAATAGACTAAAAGCAAGTTTGAAAAAGATAGTTTAAAGAAATCATATTTTATTAAAACAAAAATAAATTAATAATAATAGGAGGCTGTGTTAACATTAAAATTTTCTAAAAATTTGCTTATGATAAAAGGTATAAAAGAACACTTGATAAACTTTTTAGACTTTTCAAAGACTGCTTGACACATTAAAATCTCATTTTGACAAATCAATTTCTACAGTATGCCTGCTCTTCATCGGACTCTCAGGTCTTTTGAAAAAATTTAAGCACAAATAAGGTAACTTTAATTTTAAATAAATGTACTTAGTATATATCTAATACTGTTTGACCTAAATTTTAGAGAAATTCATTTTCTTGAACAGCAAATACGCACAATTGATAACAGAATTTATATATTACGAAGTCAATTCTATTGTATTTTATCACGAAGATGTCTTTATCATCATTATTATATTATGCTAAAACACAGTCATCAAATCTATTCTAATTTGTTATCACGTAGACATCACTACATCATGCAAAGGATTATATTAATATAACGTAATATTTAAAGTGCTTTATTTCTTAATACTTTATAACAAAATATTGAATTATTGAAGCTTTTTTTTAAGACATTTAAAATAAAATCACTTGAATTACATGATGCATAACTTTTAAACACACGCTGATTATATTATCAGTTATATTAAGTCAGTAATAAAATTTGTATCAATTTATTTTAATGCCGGTCATAGTTTGAACCAAATACACTAGTGTAACCAATGATCTTCCGACCCAAAACTTTTCGGACAAATTTGTTTTCGGTCTTTTTTTTTTTTTTTGAGCTTCTGAATTTTTTAAAAGAGAGAAGTTTTCTATTTTTTATATTTTTATGTTTTAGCAGTTAGGCCACTCCAAATTGATTCTTTGTTTAATATAACATAAATATTTTTACAAGAGGGGGGGAGGGTAAAAATTAGTGTTCCGAAAATTCAGATCTGACGGATTCAGATTATCATCCGATCCGAACCGTGGAATCAGATTGGGCCTAATAAATCTGGATTAATCCCCAGATTGAATTATAAATACAGAAATAAATTTGTATAACGATAATATAATTCTTTTAACTATGGCCAAATTCAACGAATTTTTTGTTTAATATGAATTCTACAAATCCATAATAAAAAGGTGCTATAGGCTCATATTAAAATGTTTTTTCAGCTAAAATTTTTTTTTTTATTTTAACTACTTTCTATTACAGTAGTTCAACTTTCTTAATCCAACCGGGTCATTTTGGTCTGATATATTAACCAGATCATTTTGTTAATTTTGGCTAATTTAGTATATCGCATCATATCCAATTTAATTACTTTAATAATGCTTGAGTACGTTCTGGTATGTTGAGTTAGGTTCAAATTTCTTATCATAGCGGGTTACTCAG